CTATCTAACCATCTCATCCTCTGCCGTCCTCTCCTCCTTTTGCCTTCAATCTTTCCCAGCAGAGTTAAAGCATTCAGTGATACAATTAAATTGACACATATACATGACAACAGACATCAATCAAAAGCAGGAACAGTCTGGGGGTGAAGTTACATCCCAACAGCTGGATGAACAACACTGGCTTGTACTATGATCTCTCATGCCTTTCTTATGGAGATGACTTCTAGCAATTTAAATCAGCAGCAATCACTACTCATCTAGCATCTGTATCCTCATATGAGATATAAATTTCTGTCTGCAAAGATATTACAATCTAATTCATGAGGAAATGCTGAAGGGAAAGAAAAGGAGAGAGAGGAAGCCTGAAGTCTTTCACCTGGATATCCTTAGTGGTATTATAACTTCATAGGATTAAAAAGGCAATTTCAGATATATTTTGGTTGAACAGTCCAAAGGTGTCATTCTTCCTATTCCCAATTATTCCAGATCTCCAGGTTTATGCTATTGTTGCTATTGTGTATGTGACTAAGTTTGCAAAGGTAAAGAAAAAAGAAAAAAAAATGACCCTTTTGATCCCAGGAAGAAAGCCAAGTGATAGAAATGATTGAGCAATAGGTGAACTAATCTTCTTTTAGAAGATGCACTTAGTAAGTTCCCAAATGCTTCTAGATAGGAAAGTTTGTAGTTTAGAAGTACCTTGTTTGTAGAAAGATAACAGGTTCAGTTCTCCAAACTTATCCAAAAAAGAATCTTAGGTGGGAAGACTAAAAAGAGCCCTCAGTCTGAGTTAATAGAGTGCTCCTGAAAAGTCCAGACAAAAAACATTGAGGTAGATGAATCAGCTGACTCAGCATAAAACACTGTAGGTTCATTTGTTCTCAGGATTGCTGTTCCCTTCCAGAAGAAAAAAATCCACATATTTGGTCTTTTTTTTTTTTATCAAAATGTGGAATTAGGTAAATATTTATGGAAATGAGTATATATCTTGAATACTATGGTGTCCATCTACATAAATTCAAATGGATTCCTAGGAGGTGAATGTGTCGGAGTTGCATTTATATCTATGTATAGATTTATTTAAGATTAATTATTTACATAGTCATTTAACAATTCAGACGCTTGGTGAAAGAAATCATTTTATAGATTTTCTAAATGCTGAGAGAGAAGGAGTCAAATGCAAACCCAGAAGAAGTGTGTTCCATGGCCTGAGAGAAATGCAGGAAAAGGTATCCTACCTACATTTCTGTCTGTGTTCTCTCATGAACGCTATAAGTGTGCTAATATCTAAAGTACTTCAAAGTGGCTTTTCAATGGGAGGCTATAAAGGGCAAAGAGCCATATCAGAGTCTAATGCTGAACACTTCCCAGAAATTCAGTGAACTTTCCTGTTGAGGCTGAATTTCAATGGCCACAAGTTAACTAGAGATTTTCAGTTTTTTAAAAAGAAATTAGTGCTTTATGTACCGGGAGAGAAATCCAATAAATAATAAATAATAATAATAACTTGTTCCAATACATAATTAATTGGTAAGATATCCTATTGGTTTCAGTGATGTTAGCCCCCATCCCCTCCCAAAAGTTTGCATAGGATTACAGAGTATTACAAGTTAACAGGAAAAAATATCCTTTGGAATCAGATTTAAGATCCATCAGTTATTTCCTCCTTGTTAACAATAATACAAGATTCATTTATATCAAAGTGAACTTTTTGTACATAAAAGGGGAAGACTGTTCATGATACTTATTTATATAAAACAGTCATACAAGCATTTTAAGTATGAACTCATATAAGATGACAATAATTAACTAGATTTAGTTCACTTCAATTACACTCAGATAAAGCAGTTCAAGAATTCAGTCCAAAGCTGTGGGATTTCATGAAATAAATATTATGTCCAACCTGGCCACAGAACTGAATCCTAGTTGTAAAAACTCATCTGAGTAGACGAGAAGGGGCCAAAACGTCACAAAAGAGAGTGCCAGAAAATGACAAAAGTAAAAGAGCATCAAACTTTTCAAAGATTGGCATTAACATAATTGCTACAAACATGAAGCAAAAAAAGGAGGGACAGAATTTGTGGCCTAATCAGATAAAACTATATATCAAATATCATCTGAACATCTGGCTCTCTAGTAAATGTATTGGTTAAAAAAGAGCATAAAAGTATAGATCTATGGGTTTCCTTAGATATACAAGTTATGCTAAGATGTGCTCCGTTCAGACATGAACACTGATGAACCCAAGAAGTGCTTCATCTTTTCCAATACTTGAAAAAGCTCTGGAGAGTACAGCAGGAATGACAGAGGGCCTGGAGAGTACCACAGAAAAAGATGTTACCTAAATATTTAGGATTGGAGCTCTGTTGTACCCTTCTTCTTCGTTTATCTTAGGCACTAATCTATGGGATAAAGAAAACCTATTTTACTGGCATCTCTTTGCAGGCAATAGATAGGAAGATAGGAAGGCAATCCATGCTGATTTCTACTGCCACAAACTGGCAGGAAAAAAAAATGAACAAAAGAATGATTTAAAAAATATGTTTGAATTCATTTTTTAAAAATTGCAATTGCAATAACTGAAATAGCAACCAGAAGGCCAGTTAGTTAGAGTTTCTATCAGATAGATGTACATGTTGTGCTAAGCACAGAAGTCCAATATCATTAAGACAAAAGAGCATGCAAAGATTACACACACAAACCAACCAAACCAATGGTGTAGTAATAGACGTTGCATATACTCATCTTTGCAAGCATTACCAATACTTAGGTGTTGAATGTAGTAACTAAACTCACACCATTGCTTTACCTGTCTACAAAACAAAGCACAGCACAACATTTATTGAAACATGGTTTTTAAATTAATCCTGCATGAATTTTAACTTTTCTACAACAGAATTTTTTAAAAAACCAGCAGAAACTTACTAAGCAAGTTAGGCGTGTATTAAGCAGTATTCTTCTGCGTGACCATGAGCTTTTCTTTTAACACCCCACTTTCACATCACTCTATCTAGTCTAAGCCACTAGAAGGAGTGTACTGGGCTGGAGAAAGTTTGGGTGGGGGGGAAAGGAACCCAATCTTAAACCACAAAGCAATAGCCAAATCATACTTCTTAAAACAGTTGAAAATGCAAGGAGTACACCAATTGTATTTATTATATAGATAATGATCTAAACTAGACCAAAGCCATATGCAAGGCAGAAATGCATCTGACCCATTAAAAATTATGTACCTGTTCAGCCTTCTGGTGAAACACAGCAGACATGGCTAGTATAGTGCTACGCTCATCCAGTGCCGCAGCAAAACTCTTCCACTCTTGATCTAGCTGGGTGGAGATCTGTTTAATTTGTTGAGATGCATAATGGCCAGCTTCCGAAAGCCTGGATGCAACTGACATGATGCGATTTATGTTCACATAGGCATTCTGAAGAGAAAAATCAAACGTGAGAACTGAAATGACACTTTACAATGTGATAGGGTTTAAAATATGTTTTAAACTTTTAGATCTTTTAACATATTTTAAGGAGACTGTTGGGGAGGGTAACAAGATCAATTGCAATCAAAGTAGTGCTGAAAAGAATCTCAAAGTCAAGCTGAATAGCCAACAAAATCATATGGCAAAGTTCGTATTGCTAGATGTGATATGTATTAGATTTGCAGATAAAAGATTCAGTGTCTGAATACACTCCCTATGTTAGCCTTCCACAGCCTGGGCATGGTCCGTATGTGTAGATTTCATCTCCCAGAATTCCTTGTGCAGCATGATTACCCATCCTGGATATAAACTGTTCCAACTTCTTCCTTCAG